TCCTCCTCCTCATCATCATCATCACCATCATCATCATCATCACCATCACCATCATGATCATCATTGTTGAGCTTTGGTGACCATTTTCAGGCAACCCCCCACCTCCTTCCTTCACAAATAATATTATTATATCGATTTCGAATCGATTCGTGTTTGTTTTCGAAGATCAAGATCGAATTCAGCCAAATTCGGTCGAATTCGGTCGAATTCGGTCGAATTGTGCTACGGTGGAAGCTTTTGGCCTCTCCATGAAGTACAATCTGGCTGGTCCCCGAATCAATTCGACTTCTGGATTCGACTTCTGGATTCGACTGGATTCGATTGTTGACAGTGTTCACTGAGTTTACTAGATGTACCTGAGAACAGATCCACATGTCTTGAGGAACGCCCCAGCGCTGGAACACTGCAAAAAATACTGGCCCAATGGTGCCGTTCTCCCCATGACGTTGGGTGGAGCGCATGCGTATTGCCCTGAAAAAGACAGAGAAAGCAGAAAAAGATGTTCACTATGACGTTGAAGGTGACAGTCTATGTACACCATCGATTTATATCACATTAATATCCTATATAGTGCAGTCTTACGTATTTCCGGTTTTATATGGAGCGTATCATGAGAGGAAAATGAGGGGTAAAGAGAGGGAGGGAGAGGGAGAAAGAGAGAGAGAGAGAGAGAGAGAGAGAGAGAGAGAGAGAGAGAGAGAGAGGGGGGAGGATAAGCAAGATGAGCATGGATTTTTATGGATCATTTCATTTCATTGTTTTCATTTTTAACTTGTGTTTTGCTTCCTGTCTACAAGTTTTCACTCAATGAAGAGGATTTTTTTGTCCAACAGCACAAATTTGTCTTTGGGGAAGCTCCAGGGTTCGAATCCTTCCAGAAGTTGCTGGAGGACGATGGGTCAGCTCTGCCAGAGGTGACATTTGACCCCATGGACGATGTCCTTGTCCTGCCCTATTCCAGCGGGACCACAGGCCTGCCCAAAGGTGTCATGTTGACACACAACAACTGCGTCGCCAACATCCTTCAGCTAGAGTAAGAATTATGCTATCAGCAACATTTTCCTTTTTTGTTACTCGAAACAAAAGAAATATGAAGCTTCTGAATCCATAAGGCCGGTAAACTAGCCCAGGACATTGTAATAAGATAGTTTTATCACAATTAGTGTGCACATCTTTCAAGTTTTTTCATCCGGCTTGGGTCTCAATTAGTGTGCACATCTTTCAAGTTTTTTCATCCGGCTTGGGTCTCAATTAGTGTGCACATCTTTCAAGTTTTTTCATCCTGTTTGGCAGCAATGGGGCGGGTCTGACGAACTGACCCCACGAGCCAGGTCAACCGGCAGACTAGTTAGGTGACCCTTGCCCTCGATTGTCTTGCTATTTATTGTTTATTGAGATTGTTGATTCTTTCTGATGGAAGAACATATAACTGTGTATCATAATTCATATCATTCACTTCATTTATATCACTTGCAGTAAAAAAAAATGTATGTAAGGGGTATCTTTCTTCTCAAAGTGAAAATAGTTGCTTTTTAGAAATCTTTTTTTTGGCTCAGAATTAACAGTCTGTCTTCTGTACACATTTTGTGATGAGACTTTTCTCAGCAGTTGGTTTTACAAATTTCTCGTAGAGATCTTTATACCTCTTGATCAGTGTATAAATGAAGACATATGAATAATGTACCTCTGACCTTTCATCATCCCTGAATCTACATGACATTGCACACGTTCGAACCTTCAGCTTTATCCATTTATGACTTCCCGACTTTCACCCTTTTTTTCCCTTTAACCTCTGACCTTTAATCTTTCAGACAGTCCCTCCCAGTGGCCGCCACAGATGTGGCCTTGGGACTTCTTCCCCTGTATCACATTTACGGGATGGTCGTTGTCCAGTTTTCTGTGCTGACTAGTGGCGGTCAAGTCGTCTATCTGCCTAAGTTTGAGCCAGAACAATTTCTGAAATGCATTCAAGAAAAGAAGGTTGGTGGAAAATTTGTAGGTGACTTTTTTTTATAGTTTTAAGGAACTTACAAACTTCCTTAAGTCCATCCCTAAAGGTTGGTAAAAACTAATGGATTCCCTCCTCATTAATCCTATCCGTACGTCATGTTTTACTATCTGTATGTTGTGTTTTACTATCATACCCATACGACTTGGGGAACACCACTTTCCAAAGAGAAAATTTACCCTTTTATCCGATCCATACGCTTTGCATTGATGTCTGTCAAAATGATTTTTTGAGAAATACTGAAAGTTTCAAAGAGATCTTCACTCTAGGAGTATTCTAAAATGTGAAGAATACATCCCCGGGGTTACAAAATTACCCCAGGGTGACAGATAGGGTTAACAGGAATGTTCCATCTACATAATGACTCATTTTTGTCTCATAGGACCCTGCTTATGTGAAGTTATTGAAATTTCAGATACAGTATCTCAAGTTTTTAAAATCATTTGAAAGCGCACGTTTTATGTTGTATATGTTTTCCAATTGGGTAGAATAAATTTAATAGTTGCCTATCTGGAAGACAAATCTTGCCTTGCTTCTTCTCTGGAAGTATGGAAAGATTTCTTCTTTTTTTTAGCCTTATTTACATGATACCCTTATCTCTGTATCTTGATTGTGTCTTAAAAACAGCTAAGACAATCTGTCATTGTCTCTGATGTGGATGCTTAAGTGTGGTCGGCTCCTTCTATTTTTCGTCAATGTTATTGTATTCTTATTCAGTATCTTGGTAAAAGATATATCTGTCATTGAACTAATTCGAACTCGCCTCAACGTAAAGACGGTTCAGTTTAATGCGGTTGTTAATCATTGTTATGGTTCTGACTTGCTGTTGACTCTAGCTCATTAGCAATGAAAGGTCCCTTTTCTTTTTATTTTCTCTCTCTCTTCTCTCTCTCTCATTTCTCTCTCTCTCTCTCTCTCTCGTTCTCTCTCCTCTCTCTCTCTCTCTCTCTCTCTCTCTCTCTCTCTCTCTCTCGTTTCAGTCTCAGCTTTTATAGTTTTAGTAAGAGTTTTACAGTACTTCCAACACAATTACTAAATTAGATCATGTAAATGCTGAAGATTAGAGATGTTTACAAGAGAGTAACAAACACAAAAAAGGAGGGGAGATAATGTCAATAGATGTTAAACAGGAAAGAAGGAGCTAACCACTCCAGAGCACCTGCCAACCACCCACCCAAGCTATCTTTCTTTTTTTTTCCTTACTCAAAATTATTGTTACATTGTGTCAAAGTTCTTCTCTATACTTAAACTTCCACTCAAAAACACAACATTGCAGACCAGACATATTTAAATTGTCCATCTATCCAAAGGTGACTCTGGCTCATCTCGTACCTCCGTTGGTTGTGTTCCTGGCCAAGCACCCAATGGTGTCCGACTATGACATCACGTCGGTAAAGCGTGTTGTGTCTGGCGCTGCACCTCTTGGAGCAGATATTTCCTCAACTTTCCTTGAGAGGCACAAACAGGTCGAGTTCCTTGGGCAAGGTAGGCTTTTCTTTTCATTCACATTAGTTTTTATTTTTTGTTAAAAAAAATTTTTAATGTGATTTTTTTTTGTTTTACAGTTCGATGTTCAGATTTTGGTACCAATTTTTTATCTGTATGAAATTTGGTAGAATATATATAGTGGTCTCTACCAAAATGCACTCTGTGTAAAAAGCCAGCTATGCTCAAAAGGCCTGTCTGAAAGTGCAGAGCTAGACTATATGAGGTATGTCTTGGAAAAAAGATGGAAAATCGTTATATCAAAACGTATATTTATCCTTGGGAAATCAAATTTATTTCATCATGCATGCTTGACGAATGAGCCAAATCATTAGGACCTTAATTATTGCTAACAGATTAATTATTGTCTGGCAATGCACTGCCGTCTGCGTGAGAAATAATTGTGCGTTGTGATGGTCATGTTGAAGAGTTTTTATCTTGTACGTTCGTCAGGGTTTGGACTCACAGAGACGTCTCCAGTGACCAATGTAGATACGTCAATGACTCTGGGCTCTGTGGGATACATGATACCCAACACAGAGGGAAAGGTAAGGGGGATGGGACATTTCAAACTTTACCAATTCCTTGGGAGTTCTCAAGTCTGCCTTTGTTTGTTCGTTTCTGTTCTTGAGGGAGCAGGGGGGGGGGGGGGGGTTGTATTTTGCAAATTTGTTTATGATTGTTTGTTTATTATTTGATAACAGTCGGTGTTGTTCCATCCATTTGTTATTCCTTTTTATCTACACTGACTTCTGAGTTAAAGTTTGTTAAGATCTTGACCAACACATTGAAATTCAGGGTTTAATTCTGTCATGACAGAAGATCAAGTGCTCAACATTTAAAGTGATTCGAGTTATATATCCTACAAACTACATACAAGTAATGATTTTTACGTTTAAGTTTCCTTAAACATTTTCATTATTCTTTTGTTGGGGAGACTTACTATTTCCTTCAAGCGTGATTTCAGATTGACACACAAGTGTTTTTGACTGAGCTTAATCATTTACATTTAGGCCTCTGGGCGCCATGACAGAAGTTAGGAGAAGGCGGAACAGTGAATCAATTATTTTCAAGTTTATGTCTGTGTGGCAATTTGCTGGGTGAATTTTTATTTTCACAAGTGAAATTATTTGAATGTGCGTGCGCATAGCACACAAAAAGGGGGCTCTCGAGGCCTAGAGGTGAAGGTGTTCGCCTCACATTCAAAGGTGCCGGGTTCGAATCTGGGTAGCGACGAAAAAATTGCCTTCTTAGTAATGTTCAGTCGACTGCTTTCATCTCCACTTTCTTCCCCCACCTCCTTTGCCCCCTCCTCTGGGCTCCTAACTCTTTCTGCAGCCACGCCCATGATCTTCTGGTTCGAAAGATCTACACCTAGCCTTCTCGGACAAGGGCGAAAAATCTTGTAACTCCCTAGAGGGGAAGTGAGGTACGGCAGCCATGTTCAAAGAATGCAAATTTTCCTCACTGTGACCTGCATTGTTATTAAAGTTACACGTTTACCTGTATGACATTGAACCTCGAAAGATTTTGTCCAGTTTAAAGGAAAGAAGTATTCTTCATCTTTTTGACATTCAATTTGACCTTTATTGATTGATCCTATGGCATTTGTTGCAGATTGTAGATCTTGAGACTCAAAAAGTCCTTGGACAGAGAGAAGATGGTGAGTTCTGTGTGAGGGGCCCACAAGTGATGAAGGGTTACTTCAACAATCAAAAGGCGACTGACGACATGGTGAAACCTGATGGCTGGTTGTTCACTGGTAAGATATGAGATAGTCATGCTCTATAAGTTGTCCATTAGGGGACATTGATGTTGTACTTTCAAAAGCTTATGACTTTTTAGATATTCATATTGGTACGTAGCTGTTCATAAAGTTAAGATAAGATAAAATATAACAAGAGTCTTCATTGGAAATTCTTTTCGGAATAGTGGACAATGACTGTTGAAGGTGAATTCTTTTAAAACGGAAACAGCTTGTAGTGTACCTTTTCCAGTAATGTGAGAGGGCGACAATAATAAAGGGTAGTGTCGATAGCCTAGTGGTGAGGCTACCGGACTCGTAATTGTGAGATTGCGTGTTCGGGGGTTCGAGCCTCAGCTCTTTCCGACGCTGTGTCCCTGAGAAAGGCACTTTACACGAATTTCCCATTTGGCTTGGTCCTTTCGGAATTGGACGTTAAACTCGGAGGTCCCGCCTCTTAAATAATCTAATAGTGTTGATAGGGGCGTTAAACATCCTATACCATTTCACCCTTTTTTTTTTTTTCAATAATAAAGGAAAGTTATTTTGCTTATTTTTTCCAATTTTCTCTTCCCCTGCTCACCCTCTCAGGTCAAGTGTGTTTATGTACACTTATCATGGAAATGTGCCTGTTGAAAGGGCTTTATTACCAAAAGAAAAATTAATTGATTGAAAAACTGGTTTAATCCTTATTCTTTTGTTTTCTCTGGAAATACTGTTTAAACCTGGCATGAGAAAACTACAGACCATTGGTCAGTGAGCAAATTCAGTCCTGCATGCCAAACCAACCTTGTAATTTATAATGAATGTAGCCCACAGTGAATTAATAATTAATGAAAATAAAATTGTATTTTTTTAAAATCAAAATTTATTGTTTTTGGTCCGGGGATTGAGGACTGGTGATGGATCTCATTTAAAAATTGTCTGCCAGGTGACATCGGCTACTATGATGAGAAAGGAAGAGTTTACATCCATGACAGACTCAAGGAGCTCATCAAGTATAAAGGCTCACAGGTTTGTTGTTTACTGTCCAGCATCTGGGCGTGCATGTTACCACCTGAACTTACAGCTGGTGTATTCTGTTATGACACCAGGGTGTAGGGTGTGAAAAGGAAAATTTGTTGTAAAAAATCCTGGGTTAAAGACAGGAGTGACCTTTGAGACCTATTATATAGCCTGATCACTATCAATTTTCACCTTAAATCTTTCCAATAAACTGCCAAGAAATTTTACTTAAGTTTTGGTTTGCCTTCGCAGGTTATACATTTAAGGATGAGAATCGAAGTTCTAGAACAGTCTACTTCAAATCTCATTTATTTTTTGTCAGTCAGAATTTAATGATTTGATAAACGATAAAGGTCTGTCAAAGGAACTATCAATTTTGTTGGCTTCAAGACTAAATGGGAAGAAAAAAAACTTTTATAAATAATGCAAAGATAATATTTCATCATAATTTTGGGGAAGTGGAACCTCTTATGTACTTTGCTGCAGACATGGAATTTGTCTTCTGTCAAGACAAGCCATGCTTACTACATGTGTTGATTGTGTCGGATTACGATTGGAATGACTGGAGACCACTTAGTTTAATTTGAAGTCGAAAGTGTTTGCTTCTCCATTATGGAAGTCTACTTTGGTCCATGCCTATTGGTCACTCAGTTCTGCTTTAAGAAATAAAAAGAATACAGGCACCTGAAAACAGTGCTGGATTTACTTAATGCTAGATCTGGACTACAACTGGAGGATTTGTTTTGAAAAAATGGTCAATTTTGTAACCTGTGTCTGGTAGGATTTTAAATCTTTAGCAGAGAAAATTTAAATTAATAATTTTTCTAAAGGGATCAATCAAATATGGAAATTGTCCAAGATGACCACGCATTGTCAAGATTAAAAATAGGGTGTTGTTGAAAAGTTGACAATGTCCTTATAATAATTTATATATTTAAAAAGTTAAAAAAACCAAAAAAACCCACAGGAAGGGGGGGGGGAGGTGGATTGGAAGTGGTCTTTTTGACAGATGATTGCCCTGGACAGGTGGCAGTTAGAGCAAGTTCAATTGTAGGTTCTTTTTGTTTCTTCTCAATATGTTCAGGTGGCTCCAGCTGAACTTGAAGCGTTGCTTCTGGGTCACTCAGAGGTTGCAGATGTGGCAGTTATAGGAAAACCTGACGAGAACGCTGGGGAGTTGCCCACTGCTTTTGTGGTGAGGAAAAAGGGGTCAGAGGTCACAGAGCAGGACATTGTGCAGTTTGTACAAGGTGAGACTCAAACTTTGAACACTTGCGTGGGGGAGGGGGAGGGGGGGTTGGTTTGCTGTTCATTTTTATTTTTTTAGGGGGGGGGGGGAATTCTGGTCAGAGACATATTGTGTGTTCAAAATGGTAAAATGGTCATAAAGACTTGAGGAGTTTCAAAGCTCTTCTCCCACTTGACTTGATCCATTTTTAGTCGAAAGTAAATTTGAAAAATTGAACCTCTTAAGACTTTCTTTCCCTTTATTAAAAGATTTATTTCTTTAACTCGGTTATTTCTATCTTTAAAAAAAAAATTTCTCTTCGTGAAACTATTGTTATTGTGTCCATGCGCTTATCTTTTCCTAAACACAAGTTAAAATTATTGGCTAACCATCAACATAGCTACAACAGCCATTATTACCATGTTACTGTTACTGTAATCAACTTGTATGAAGAATCTAGTCATTATCATGCTGATTTTTGCAGGATCCTACTCTTTTTGTCTCGAATTGCTGTTTCAGTAAATCTTTCTTGCTTTTTCTTTGCACTAAATAGACACTGTTGTGTCGATGTCAATTAAAAACCCTGATAGCACAACACAAACTTTCAGAACTAGAGAATTTCTTTATATGAAGCAGATTTCATTTTAAAGGGAAGTTGCAATATATAGCACAAAGAGAGGGGGAACAAATGGAGGTTTGAAATTCTCTCATCATCATAGTAACAGAAATTTTGCGTTAAACGGCTTCATGTTAAACAGAACCTTCTGTAGTTTTCCTTTCTGCAAGAAACGAATGTGCTTTATAACAATTGAATGATAACTCTATGCTGCTTTCTACTTGACAGAACGAGTTGCCCCTTCCAAGAGGCTGCGTGGAGGTGTGCAATTTATCGATGAGGTGCCCAAGAACCCAAGTGGAAAAATTTTGCGGAGGATTATCATGGCAAACTACCTATGAACTCATGGATTTCTAAGTCTCTTTCTTTCAAGAGGAGAACGCTGGTTGGATTATATATTTACTGCTCAACTGTTAGTTTTTGCTGCATTGTTTTCAAGCCAATATTAAGTAAAATGTATGTTAAGCAAGATTTGTACCATGAACGGTCGTTGTTGTTCCATTTATACAATATATACACTTGTATTTCAGAGGTTTGTGCTTTTAGGTAGATATATAGTTTTATTGTAATATCTATCCAACCAATACAGTGAACTGACAAGATACACTGAGATTGCTAAAAATATGTTTACTCCAGAAATATATATCAGTGTCAGATTATGGATTTCCTGTTACTAATTGAAATTTATATTTCTGATGGTGAAAATTATTGTACGCATTGTTTGATAATGTGTGGTAACTGAGTTTTCAAAGAACTTTAACTCTTTAACTGTTCTATTTTTTTGTACTGTCTTTTGTTGTTGTTTTTTGGTGGGGGGGGGTTGGGGGGGCGGGTCCCGTTGCAAAATTTTTTTATTAGAGCAGGTGATGAAAAATGCATCCAAAATAATTGGTAAATTACTCAGAGCTGTATCATATATCAATTTGAAGGGAAAAGGATAAAGAATTGAAATATGTGGCATGTAATGTTATAATTGAGTGATATGTGTCACAACTTATGTGTGCAGGATTTTTTTCACACTCGACAAGACTCATAGACACATCTTATTATCAAAATCTCCTGTCCTACTCTGTATTTTCAGCAGGTAATCCATGTTTCTGTTTCAGCTTCATATTCTAAGTGCTCCCAGATATGTTTGTCATAATCCAATGAGAACTGTTTAAGTTAAGCCTCTTTCACTATTATCCTGTCAAAGAAATATAACAGGAAAAAAAACCCACTTAGATACAACTCTTTCAATATCCACAAAATTTTTACAACATTTACATAGTCCCAAATCTCCAGTCAATAGAATGCAACCTGTTTTATAGGTGGACAGCAGTGTGGTACTCATAGAAACACTCTTTGGGATGGAGAATTGTCTTTGGCTTGCACCCAGAACAGTATGTGCGTGTGAGTGCGGGCTCGCTTTTCAGATGTGCTGTGCACTGCACAATTTCGGTCTCCAGTATAGTCACAGACAGGCAAATGTATCCCTTGCATCCTCTCCAGTGCATGGGCCTGAGATGGCCTACCACGCCAAACATGGGGCTCTCTCTGCTTGTGGTTGGCTTTGTAGCTCAACAGCAGCCTGCTCTCTGAGTCCATGGACTAAGCTACACTTGGACTGCTTGAAGGGCATTTTCGTGGTGTTTTCAGGTCGGGTAAGAGTAGCCAAATTGTAGGCGTTGTATTGGGCTATTTTTTAGCACCCACAGAAACAACTTACGCCACCACTTTATAACCACTACTGTTATGCACTCCATAGTAGTTGACCATTTGGTCCAAAAATTACTGCCGTTCATATTTTTGGTGTAGTAGTGAATCACCCTTGGTTTGTTGACATCCTTTTTGGGAGTCAATTCTGTGAAAGATGTTGACTCCACAGCAACAGTGGGATTTTTTTGGCTCTTTTTTTGTCATGGAACATCATCATCATTTCCTTTCTCACCCTGAATCAGAGTATCGGCCACGAACAAACACTTTCCACCTTTCCCTATCCTGTTTGTTTGTGCTTCTGTAACTTTCAGTTTCTACAGGGTTGAGTAGCCGGCCCTCCTCTTACTGGCACTTTTCGGGAGATCAGACCAAAGCACCTTTAGTTGCGTCTTACGACACACAGTATCATCATGGCAGGTGTTATTCTTTGCTGCCCCTATAGGGCCTCCCACTTGCAGGGGCAATCTTAGAACATGACTGACACAATTGAAGAATCCTCATTGGTGAAGAACTTGGATTCTCTGACGGCCAGTTTTGATGTTTTGAATCCAGAATGGAATACTGCTCGATTTACATTCCCAGTACCTCTGTAGTAGGAATTTTTTTTATCAGGAGGGAATTGATGAGTGCCCTGGTCGTATATTAACGATCTGACAATCTTTGTCTACAAAAATGATCAAAACTTCCAATACAAATTACAAGTAAAGTCAAATTTTCCTCGACTGCTTCAAAGTGATGTTAACAAAGTTGACTTGACTAAAACTTTCCTGGTTAGAGCCTTGTACTGTTATTCTATCGTAGAATTTGTATCGCATTTTGTTCTGACGCTGTCTGCGGCATCGACTGGGTTTGGGGACGGCGTTTTGACAGAACAGTTAAAGAGTTAATCTTTTATTTATATGCCTTTACTGTACTTTACAAGAAAAGTCAGGTTCTATTGAAATGGCTTGCCTGTTTATGTGTTACATTTTTATATATTTCTGATGATGAAATTATCATATTCGTTGTGAATAACCAGAGGTAACTTAGTTTTTCAATGTTCCTTTATATGCTCTTACTATGCAAGACCATTCAGATTCAATAGATATTGAGAGAGAGAAATATTAATACATTTATCAACTAGTTTCATTATATCTCCAGTGTTCTTTTCCGCCATCAGTTGTCCTGTACCAGATATTAAAAGCCACTTCAGATGTTATTCTAGCCAATTGAAACTTACTGTAATTTTAAAACTTTTCAGGTGGCTCTCGTGGCCTAGAGGTTAAGGTGTTGGCCTCTCTTTCAAAGTGGGTGGTTGGCGGGTGCTCTGGTGTGGTTTGCTTCTTCTTTCCTATAAAAAATCTGTCGTCGTTCTTTTTTATGTTTGTTACTCTCTTGTAACACCTCTAATCTTCTGGCGCTCGTATGACCTTATGCAGTTGCGAGCGTTGTAAAACCTCTACTAAAATTAAAACTCACATTCATAGCTCCCGGGTTCGAATCCAGATAGCGACTGAAAACATTTCTTCTCTAAACTTGTCTCCTTTCACCTCCTTTCCTGTTCTCTAGCAATGTTCTGTCGTTTGCTTTCGTCTCCTCTTTCTGCCACCGTCCATCACCCCTTTGCCCCCTCCTCTGGGCTCCTGACTCTTTCTGCAGCCTTTCTACTGCTACTCCTCGGCACCTTCTTACTGCTGTATTTCAACCACACCCCTGATCTTCTGGTAGGAAAGATCTATACCTAGCCTTCTCGGACAAAGGTGAAAAATCTCGGAGGGCCTGTGTGCAAGTTGCGCACGTTAAAGATCCCTTGGTGGTCTAAAATCAGTAAGAGTAGGCTTCGGCTGCCACCCGGGCAAAATTCAAAATTTCCTACCAACTGAAAATATTAAGTGTGTCCCGCATGCTCATATGACCTTATGCAGTTGCGAGTGCCGTAAAACACTTACCAAAAAAACCAAACTTTTCAGACACAGAATGCAACCGATATAAGTTTTTGATGGAGCTTGAGCACCAAAGATGTCTTTACTATTCTTTAACTGAATCTTTGTTGTGGGGTGTTGATATCCAAGATTTAACTATAATGATATTTAGTTATAGGTTGTACATGTTTTATGCTACATTTTCAAATAGCAGTGACTTATGGTTTTTCCCAGGTGTATCAACTTTTTAAAATGTGTCTTTCTGTTTTATGGTATGGATGAATTCATGTCAAAAGTTTTATGTTTACACATTATTTTTATAAATGATAGCAAATTTTGGTTCATTCTTGGATCACTAGTTTATATTCTACCATGTATCATGATCTATATATATATAATCCAATTTAAATAAATGAGCTAGGCAGGAGTGCCTTATTTCTTTCATCTATGACACATTTTGAGAATTTGTATGAAACTGGGCCTCATCAGTTACAGAATGAACAAGTGTATATTTTTAAAAAATAGAAAAGCAGGAGAAGTTCACAGCTTTACAAAGTGCATACAAACAAGACGATGATGTTGCCATTTTTTTCTCCCGAGGCTACTCTGCTTCTACTCTGTGACTCAGTGTTATTTTGTTGAGAGTAGAAGTACAGTAAACACTGTTTATCTTTTAACATGATGCCATTTAACTCCTAATTTCTGTTACCGTGAAAGAATTCCAAATCCCTGAGGTTTTTTCCCCCATCTTTGTCCTCCTAGGCATTGCAACTTAACCTTAACACGAAATTTGCGAAGGAATTTAACAGTCCCGTTAAGTTTACATTTTCAGGATTGTACTATGTTTATAGATTATTTCCTATAGCTTTGATAAATCTACCTGCTGCATATAAATTCTTATTAAAAAGTGCATTGTAGGTCTGGAAACAAACATGAACATAACAGTTTTTGTTTTTCACTGTCAAAAAGAGCTACCTGTGATGAAATGGATTTTTTGTTTGATGGATCGTATGAATTCAGATTTAGCATATTTTAGAACCTTCTGTGATGTATCTAACAAATTTTATTGTTCTTTGCTTTAAAGGACCAAATGGCACTTACATGACCTTATTGTGTTGCAAGTGCCGTAAAACTCTTACGAAAATGAAAAAAACAAAGGACCAAATGGTAAATGGTTTGTTTTTATTTGAGTTGGACGCTCTGATAGATTGCCTGTTAAGCCGCTGTCTTTGACAGCTAAATGCTCGACCCAGTTGTTAGAATAAAAAAGAAAGACAAAAAAAAGTTTTAAAAAGGAAATAGTTATGATTTGCCAAACCTTCGTACCACTCATTTATCTAGATGTAGGTGTTAATGAATATGCATAAAATTAATTTGCCGTATGGTGGAGTAATGCCTCACTTTATTGTACTGTGAGCGTGAGGAGACTTTAGGAGTTTGAATAATGTTTCTACCCTAGAGAAACAATTTCTCCAGCATTTGGCAAACTATTACGTGTATAAGAATTGGCTTTCAAACTGGGTGATATCACGTTTTATAAACTTTATTTATAGTGTTCAACCCATACCCTGCCTTCTTTTCTACGCATAGCAGTTTGACAATTGTTTTAATCAAATTTCTTTCATTTCCTTGCAATATTTAGGAATCAATATTTAAGCTAGGCTGTGGGGGTTTTTTTATTTTGGTGTTTTTTACAAATATATCTATAAAGTTACTGCCCACTTTTAGATGATATACTTGCAGTGATAGTTGTTTGGCCTAATATTAGATATTCATATATTGAATGCGGACTTTGTGGTTGTAGTTGTTGAATTTTTAACATCTTAGATTTGTCAGCTGGTTTGTTTTGAAACTTTTCAAGAGCACACAAGTGGACAACTTCAGT